TGGTCGCACATGTATAGTTTTAGAAGTTGCTTCACCGGCGGATAGAGGGCGTTGGTGCACTCGGCGTCATAGATTTAATAAAATCATTGGGTTTTAGAGACAGCGAAGGGAGTGTGGATTTCAAGACTGTAGAGATTACCATCAAAGATTAAGTGAATGGTGGCAGAAAGCGAGAGAAAACTAGGTATTGTCTTATTAACTGATGGCAAGAGGGTTTTTATAGCCTCATTTTAAGCTTAAATGGTAAAACAAAATGGCTAGATGGCGTAAGCTACCGCCCGATCCAAAGGGCTCAGCCGTATCCGTCGGTCGGTCGGTCGGTCGGTCGGTCGGTCGGCCGGCCGGTTTCGGTTTTGGTTTCAAAGTGAACGCGGCAATGTAGCTGTTTTACGTTTTTTTGCGTAATCTTGTGATACGATTATTTTACTTGTAGCACACAACCAATGAAACAGTGGCACTGAGCCACTTTGAAGACGACGAGGTGTATTTGAGCCTAAATCTAAGGCTTTTTTTTATCACCTTTTTTGATGCATCTGATTATGGTCGGTTGCGAAGCGGCTGACTGATGTACAGGGAAGATTACCATCGTCTACGGCCGTGCCCGATGACCACCAGTTTCCAGAAAAACAAACTAACAAAGATCGAGTCTAACACGTGAATATAAAGAAGCATATCGACAGCTTGATTAGCAATCTGCTGAATCAGCTAGAACAGATGAACTCGCGAGTTTACTACTCACTGTTTGGTTTTTGTGGGCACCCAACCTTGAGTGAACTTTGCAAACTAAAAACGTATCGTGTAATGACGCAGATAATTGATATAAACAAGTAGTGTCGTCTCGGCCTCTTTTTTTTTAATTCAGTACTTGGGCATGTTTTAACAGGCTGAGTAGGAAATTTCTTATATTATCAACCCTGCTAAAGTACTCATAAGCAGCATTTCGCGATATTGACCCTTGGAAATCAATTATTTTTATACGAACATCTGCTTACTATAAGTGACAGGCCCGTCAAATAAAATCTGACATTTGTCTTCCGTAAAATTGGCCAAATAAAGTTAAAGGGTGCGGTAGGAGGAATACCTTGGAAAGTTTGGCTGAATTCTAGCGCTGGCCACACTTCACAGACCTGTGTGAACAGATATTTCTTTGTTTGAACAGATTCGCTTTTTAAATTTCGGCGTCGCCAGCCACCAAAAGTAGAGCTCTATTCGCCATCGACTATCCTGGACTTAAGCAATTGTTATGCAAACGGCCTCTTTTCTTCTTTTTTTTTGCGTTAAATATTGCGGATTTTAGATACTGACAAAAATTAAAACAGCATACGCAAAAAAAAAAAAAAAAAGCGTCGTCATTATTGCGCATATCCCGAACCCAAACCGCGTTTTGGATTAGCAAATAGAAACGACGTAATTTCTTTGTGCACGCTATTCCAAAAATCGCTACTGTTGTGGCAGTTTCTTACGCGGGAAGTCCCAACTGGTTATCCAAATATAATCAATAAATCACTTAAATGGCTGTCAAAATGGGAGTGAGCACGGTATACATTTTCTTAAACTTCATAAGTAAACCGACCAACCGAACGAGTACATCGCAAAACAAGAAAAAAAAAAAGGATTGAAAACTTTATACACATATGTAGGTGTGCTATTATGAACAAACAAATCGCCTGATGTTGACGTAGCAGTACTTCTAGCCTCAGATGAAATACGAGTTAAACGTTCGTTGTCTAAGTTGTCATAAGGACCTTTGAACCCTCGTGATGTCTTAGTCGTCGAGTAGACGTATCGGGCTACAGCTTCCGAAGTCAGGCAAGAAAGCGCGGGGAAACGCCGACGAAAAACACGATTACAACAAAAACAACGCATCCGCCAAGGCGCGGGAGGGGAGAGCGGAGCAGCAACTCGAAGCAACCTAGTGGCTGCCGCGTCACGTGATTCTAAGATGGCAGCGCCCATGCGGAGGAGGACGAAAAGGCTTATACGTTTCAGATGTCCCGATAGCACTTACAACCGTAGTAAAAAGTTCTTAATCAGAACAAATTTTGTTGTGTCGCTTCAGCCCCGCTTTGACAGCGAGGATGGCGTTTGTTGTCTGTCTTCAGCTTTTTCCTCAGTATGGAGTTTACCATATTAAGCTGACTTAACGTCCTCTGCACTTCGGCGTTTGAGTTGGACAGCACCAGCAACGGCATGGCAAATCCGGCCAACTCGGTGAACAGGTTTCGCCACAGGCGTTCTTATAAGAGTGAATGTCACGCCAAAACGACTGCGTTGACGATATTTATTCCCATTTAACACGGGTGATTTTGCTCCACTGGTCCTGAAGCTTTTGTTTTTTAAAATTTATTCAGGGGGAACTTACATTGCTTGAACAGAGGAATCATGGCTCCTTCAGGGCGCACAAAGTGTTTTCGACCGTTAAAAGTGATGTCATCTGGAAACTTCGACGTTGTCAGAAAGTCGCTGTCTGATTTGATATACTAGCGCGCTAATAAATCGTATGCACTTTTCTCGCATCGCAACTTGATTAGCGAGAGAAAACTCGTCGGTCTTCATATTGTCAACGTATGTCTCAGACAGGTAGCCCAGCTATGGGGTGAGGTTCAAGTGGTCGTCAAGTGGTCGTAAACTCTGGACGCGGACGCAAAACCAGCCGAAATTGGCTGGTTTCGCAGCAGACGGCTCTTCGCCAGGAGACAACAGCCAGATCCTTCGGGCCTCGCATTTGGCGCAGTAACACAAATGCTCCCGTCACGTGGGGTAACGTGCTTCGCTCCAACGCTCTTGCTAGGTCGCGGGCGCCGTAGCCTCCACAGTTCACCAGCCGTAATGCTTTCGTGCTGCGTCGAGGGCGAGAGCCCCCTAACGGCACAACAAGATACCAGATTCGTCAAGGCAGAAAGCATGACTGTCTCCGCTGTCTCGACCGGCTTCCACGACGGTAGATGACGGCAGTCAGCTCTCCCAATTGAAATGGAAAAACCCAGAGGCAGCGCGCGTCCAGCCGTTCAAACTATGAAAGAAGCAGTCGACATCAACTGCAGACTCGTGCCTAGCTTAAATACTCTACTCAAGATACTGTATTTTAAATATTATTGTTAGCACTTCAATATCATGCAGATATGTTTCGTCTAGAGTATTTACTACTCTATCTTAATTACATCTCTCACTATCTTGTACTCAGTATTTCAAATACATTTTTCAACCTTCGAAAATTGTTGTCGCCGAAACAATCTTTGAGTATTTGGTTTGTCAGACTCCAGGGCGAAGCTGAACCGATTGCAGACTTGGAGGCAAGCGACCAAACACAGGACAGGAAACAAGGCACGAGCAAAACGCTTTCTCCGAATGCTAACAAAAAACCAAATAAATAGCCCCGAATAGCCCAGCCTTATGCGTCTTCCCGTCCTTTTTTTAAAGTTGCCTTTGCTTGGTACTTACGCTTGGAGGTATAAGGAAAAAGCAAAGTGCTGGTGACGTAATCGGGATTATATACATTTTCTTTGAAGCTAGAGTGGTTGCGTCAGTGGAAGATTTTGCTCCAACGCTGGGTACGGTCAAAACGTCCCATTTTGGGAAATCGCTGGTTCAGGGGGTTGTGGCATCAAAATGCGCGAGCGCGTTTTTAAGTAAGCGCGAACACTCCCTTGGCCACGGAAGCAAGATCCTGCTGGCTTTATTGAGCAGCAGTAACCTATATTGGACTTTCCCAGGGTTCCTTGTGTGCCTATTGTGGCTTACCTTTGGCTGCTATCGTTGAAGCGCTTTTTTTTTCATCTATTTGCGAATGCTTACATTGTTTCGTTCTGAGAATCCTACAACCCAATTTTACGTCAGTACACTCGCTTGTGATACTTGTGTTTCCTTCTTTACATTCCTAATATTTTTTGGAAGTTTAATGATACAGGCGCTCTTCCTCGCCCTTTACTGGATAGACATAATACTGGCGCTTGGTTTTTGACCAGCAACAGAGGCTGCATGCTGTCCTCTAGCTGATATTTCTCCTGTGCGTGCGCCTTTGTCATTCACCCGCATACTCATCATCAAGTCTGGTGGCCTGAACAGCTTTTCGTTTGACTGTTAGGGACATGTAATGCCGGACTATGTGACAAATCCGCCGAATCGCTTCAAAGCATATTACGAACTTATTGCGGAATGCGTCATGAGCCGAGCCTGCCGCCAAACTAAAGCACGCCAGTTGCCATGCGTACAATGCGTGAGCCCCCTTGTTCCTAGAATCTTTCAGTACCCGTTATGTATCATGTCCCGGACTATTTTAAAGTAAACTTCGATTGCAAGAGCTAAGCCGCGTCTTGAAAGCCATTAAAATAAGAGCAGAATGTGATTTTCATTGAAATCATCACAAGTAGAGCACACCATTTGACATTTTTTTTATATTACCAGCTTACAATCTAGTTGCCGAGAATCTTCGAATGTAAATCAATCACTTTTCAAAGTATTTGTACTTTACTCAAGATAGTTCGTTGTAAGAGTAACTTAAATACTACTATAAATACATTTTCAAATGGGTATTTAATATCTTATTTTAAATACCTTTATCGAGTATTTGGCGCAATACTGGCATCAGGACCACTGGAGTTTCGCAGCGTAAGATGTATTGTATAGTTCGCGTAAATTATTTGCCGAACTTGTAGAAACTACTCATTAAAACATAGCCCTCACTAACTCCACTGCTGAACTAATTTAAACTTGTCTTGATGATTCCCGTTAACCCTGTGATAACATGAGTGCGTCGTGTGTGCAGCACTTCCAAAACCGCAGAAAGCTCCACGTCAATAAGCATAACTAACTATAACGCCTGAATAATACGCACACGACATATTCTGTTCTTCCCAGGTTTATTAGAATTATCAGAGCACTTTTAAAAGTTATGATGGCCCATGTTTTTGGTTCTTTATGCCCTTTCCACCCTTGTCCCCCATCCCCCCCCCCCCCCCCCAAAAAAAAAAAGAAGAAAGAAGTCTGTTTTCACATGCTGATGAGTTTGCGAATTCCTTTATTTGGCAAGGTTTTCAAACATTTTGTTGGACAGTTAAGCAATAAATGTGAATGTTTATTGCATTTGAGCACTTAAAAAAAATGGATACCCATTAATTTACTGGCGATATTTGCTACGGTGCCCAATGAATACGACCCCAAGAAATGGCGTCGCACTCAGTGGGCGTCGTAGCAAAAGTACCTCTGGAAACAAAAGTTGGCAGCTGTTTGGCAAGAGAGCAAGGTATTGTTTTCGAAGAGTGTTTCACGGAGAGTATATCTCTTGACGCTAAGCAGTGGAGAGACTCGACCCAGCGATATCTATTCCTGAACTCATTATCTTTAGAGTACTCCAAAGGCATCAACCGATAAGAAGCAACAGCATTCGGTGCTCCAAAGATAAAACCATGGTAGAGATATCCACCCGCAGAAAAATCGTTTTTGTTGGCGTGTTTTATGTAGCGCTGCCATCACGCACAACAACTTCAATTGGTGCTTGTGTTTTCCCGGTGACGTGCTTCAGGCCCCTGCAATTTTGGATCAGCTTTAGTTAATGTAGATGCAATGGTGTAAATTAATACTAACATTCTATCTTAAGCTGATATGTTTTCCTAGTTTCTCTCAGTGTTGTGCTGAACATTAGCTGAACAACCATGAGCGTCGCTGACATCTCACTTAAAGATTTGAAGTTTATTTGTTTTTTCTGAGTCCACGCCACGTAGGTACTCTTAAGAATATCGGAACTTTAGAACAAGTGAGAAAAATGACACCGGGTAAGATATCCCTAAGTTCTATTTTTGTAGATTTTCTGAAACGTGTCAAAACCCGAACCCCCAAAAAATGTTCGCAGGCAGCCGAAACGAAGAACTCAAGCGATGCATAAAAAAAAAAAAATTAAGAAGAAAGAAGCCTCGGGTAGGCTTTACAAGTGGCCAAGTCAAACTTATATGCAGTGGAAACCAGTTCTAGAATCTGGCGGAAGGGCAAATAAATCAACAAGGTATTAATTTGGGGTAGTTGCTACATAGTTATAAAAATGTAAAACAGCGCCAAGAACACCAAAGACCCCAAGGAGTGCGTGCTCTGTTCCCTGTGTACTAGGCCTATCTTAGTTCTGTTCTACCTTCTTAAAAAAAACAAAAAAAAACAGACGCCTAACTCTTCCTATCTTTAGTAGCTATATTGAATACGCTCGATCGTTTTAACAGTATATCAGTAGTTGTGATCGTAAATTGAGCTTCGCAATCGCCATAAAATATAAAAAGAAAACATTTACCATTATCGGTAAAGGGGCGGCGCAACAATTTTTGTACTTTACGCGAATATCGTTTAGAACGAATGTCTGACGTCTATGACCAATAAAACACGCGGTCGTTATTCTTTCCATGCCATAAACGTCGCAGAAAAAAAGAGCAGCGTTTATTTTTTTAACTTTCAGCCAGAAGAAGAGCCAACGTGATCTGGAGCCGATTATATGCCGCCAATGTTGATCATAGCGACGCGTTGAGGTTGGTAGGGCACAGGAAACGCGCTGAGTTCCAGACATTGTTAAGGTTCGGCTATTGTCGTCGTTGCCATGATTGGGCTCGAGCCACACACGAATGCTTGTCGAGCTATTGATTATCACAAGCCCAAATCGAGCGCTGACGGAATGCTCAGGTTCAATCTATGAGCCGCATTCAAAAATCGTCACTCGGCCGTACTGCGACCGCCCAGTTACATCATAAAGTTTTGTGAATGAGAAACTGAAAGAATACGCTTGGTCTAATCCTTAAAATTACACCGCAAAAAGAGGTTTCTTGGTCAATGGAGTACCACTAGTGCCAGTACCACTAGTGCCAGTAAACTCGTGTAAAGTGAAAAAAAAAACATTTCAATGTAATATTGCTGCACCGCGAATTTAAATGTACTAACAACCTCGAATTTTACCTAAGAAGTAAGAACGTTTCTGTAATTAATTTAATATGTTTGAATTACTACCGAAGTATCCTCGTTCGCACGAAATTATACAAATTTAAAAATGGTGAGAAAGATGGTTTTCTATTTGTGCGAATTTTTAATTTGTCCTCAAACGAACTTATACGAAATCGGACTTGATAGATCTTTCTTTTTCTAGCACTGCGCGTTTATCTATTTTCTTTCTTTCCCAGATGCGAGAATATCAATATAAAAATCTATATGTGCAGCTGTCAATGACACACACAAAGAAAAGCTAAAGCTACCGCGGGTCTTTATTCCTAAAGCCTTTTTGGACCGTAGGTCAAGAAAGTTTGTTTAAATGGACTTGGTTTCACTGAAGTCGTTCAACATATGCCGTTAATATAAATGGAATTAAAATATTAACTTGCCAATTGACAATACCGCAATTTAAAACACTCTTGAAGACACCAGTTACATTTTATTCGAAATGAAAAAGCAGGGGCCATAATTGAGTCGAAAGAAAGAAATTAAGAACTGACTTCACATTTTTTTATGTGTAACATTGTGTATCAAGAAACTTCGTATCTATGAGCTTATTTGAAAACACCACTGAAGCACAAAAGAGTAATTTTGTCATAAAAAGAAGCAAGCACAATCAAGCATTATTAGGTCAATACTAGCACTCTCGCTAAGTCACAAATATTCTAAATGAATGCGGCTATGACATTAGAATTCTAATAATACCCCAAACTATTGCGCTTTGTGACATATGCTTACATTGCAAAGGAAGCAGAACTCAAAATTGAATACATTTTAAAGTACCACAGTTGCTTAAATTGGAATAAACAAGGTTCGTATGACCTAGTTTAAAATTCTCTAGATGTCAAGGAGCATGTAGGAGGAAAAAGGAGTACAGAAACAACGGCGATAGCAGCAATTATAGTGTTTGCCATGAGGTGGCTATAATATTGCCGGCATATTTCAACAAAGGCATCAGCCCGAACGCGAGACGACGTACAGGCGCCCGCAGGATTGGCTTCACGAGTCTCTCGAGCGAATTCCAACCGTGATATCCTTTACAGACAGGACTCCGTATCCGTTGTAAAATTCAAGGGGGACCTGCAAAGCGTTTCAAATTAGGAACAGTTGGCGAACAACACACCATGTTTTTCCAAATGGAAAACAAACAACAAAAACACAACAGTGACTGAGGCTGGCAGAACGGCGATACCCCTAATGTTCAGGCTTGAACAATAAACGACCGAACACCCATGCACAATAACGCGATCAGTCATTTAGGTAGGTCCGCTCGTTAAAAAAAAGAAAAAAGAAAAAAACAAAAAAACAGTGTTCGTTTGCTGCCGGTAGCCAGCGCTCTATTGCCGGACATGCAGATTAAAATGCCAGTGATATATTTGGGAATAGCGCTTCCTGAATTCTTGGTTAGCGTCATCATCTCATTACACTATTTGTCGTCTTCATAATTTTGGAAAACAGACTTGAGAAATGCATTGTAGACTTCACGCGAAATCGAAAATAGGTATCGTTGAATTTATTGCCGATCAAAACAACATCTGATATGTGCTTTTTTGTTTACAATATTGTTCACAAATCACTGTTGGAATGAATAACCGCTTTGAAATTGAAAAAAAAAGAAAATAAACATACAGACTTGTAAAATTTGTCGGCCTTTGCGCGGCACTACATGCTAACATTATACATTTATATTTCCAATTTGTAGCTGTTTGAAATTTTCAAATCACTTGCACTCTCATACACGAATATTTGCAGATATTAATATAGGCATATCGAATCCTATTTGCCAGGGTGGCGTAATACTTTACAACAGAGGTGCTACTTAAAGTATTATTTAATGGAGCTTTGTAGGGGATTCTTTTTAGGTGGTTGGTGTCATAACAGTCGCAAATTGCCCGTGTAATTCTGTTGCTACGTGAAATGTTCTTGGGTTAGCGCTAGTAACCTCCCGCTAAATTTAGCGGGGCAACAGAATTTGTGTATAAATCCTGTGACGCGAAGTCATGTGACGTCATTTCTCTTGCTAAATTTAGCGGGGAAAGGGAAGTGGAGTTGGAGGTCATATGACATCAATTTCCCCCCTAGATTTAGAGGGTAAATTAAACTAAGGTAGCGTATTCGGCGAGTTGGTAAACGTTATATATGATGAACACAGCTCAAACGACGATGGCGAAGTGAAGAATCATACACGACAGGATGAAGTTGTACGACAGCTTCGTACTGTCGTGTATGTTTCTTCACTTTGTCTTCGTCATTTGAGCTGTTTTCATAATGTATAAGGTAAACTTAATTTATATGTGTAAGCCACGTTACGTCAATTTTCCCGCTAAATATAGCGAGGAAACTGAATTTGTCTAGATGTCACGTGACATGAAGTCATGTGACATCATTTTCCCAATTAAATTTAGTGTACAAACTGAATTGGCGTTGAGGTCACGTAACGTCAGGTTTCCCACTACGTCTAGCGGGGAAACTGAATTCGTGTGTAGGTCACGTGACAGAAAGTCATGTGACGTCATTTTCCCCGCTAAACTTAGCGCGAAAACGGAATTGGTCTTGAGGTCACTTGACGTTTATGTTCCCGCAAAATCTAGCATGGAAACTGAAGTCATGTGAGGTCCCAGGCCACGTCTTCAATAAATGTGGCTTCACGAAATCCGGAGCAACTAGCCAAAGAACTTTTTACGTTAACATTTGTTTGTGAAAGGTTGAGGCATCATAAAAGTTGGATATGAATTAAAAGGGCTCTTTCAGGAATCAAGCAATACACTTTCATTGGTTATAGTAATTCTAAAATCGGCTGCATCTGAACCGTCTAAGGAGTAAAATATTATAACTAACATGTACATCCGCCCTAAGTTCATGTGTAAGATACTCTTCACAGCGTAGTTGGTCAGAACTTAAAATATAATGGAGCGGTCTTAAAATCGAGTTTAAATGCATTTTTTGCTCGGTCTCACCATTGGCGAAGTCGTAAAAGGGGTGGAGGGAGAAGGGATATACATTTTGCACCCTACTTTATGTAATTTCATGTTCGCCTGGGGCGCACGGAGCACCGAGAAAGTGCAATACCCAAGGCCGCGCCACCGCTTCAGTGCAGCACAAGATGCACGACCAAGCGAACTGAAGACTCTTACCGTGTGACGCGCCGCAGAAGGTCGCTTCAATGGCAGAACATAAATGAGCGGATGCTTAAAAGAGAAACTGCTAAGCAAGGGTGGCGGCTCCCGCCATCTAACGAAGAAACTAAATTTACAATTGGTATTTGAAATGGCTTCTTTAATAGACAGTATTTGTTACTTAAAAGAATTTACTCGCCCGTACAAGAAATAGTTGCATAATTTGATAAAACGTTTATTTCCATATTTGGTTGTTTATTTCCTTTTAAGGCCGAGGCAGTACAGAGATGAGTGGGCGAAGAAAAAAAGATTCGCCTGTAGTTTCGAGAATATCTATCGAATCCGCGATGGAAATATCTTTCACTCCCGGTTCTTCCGAAAGAAAAGCAAGTCGGTTTCCGATCTCCCGGTTTTATATCAGAACGTCTATGAATCAGCATGACGACTTCAGCATCGACCTAGCAAATATGTATGCGATGCTGCACAATGATCGAAACGTAAGATGGCCGATCAAGTTCCTCGGCCGTCTTCTGCGGTGATGCTCCTCTAGAAAGTACGTCTGGGTAGAGCGAGGATTCCTCGAAACTTGATATAAAGTCGTAGCGCACGAACCTCGGCAACCTGAAGTTCCTTCTGAACAGCAGGAAGCATAACAAATCTATGTCTACAGGGTGTCAGAAAAGAAAATTTACACGGTCTTTTTTACCGCAAAAATGAACTAGGCATCGCGAACGCTCATTCTCCGCCCAAAGGTGGCGCTAGAGGTCACAACCAGATGGCAAAGTTTCAGCCCGATTTGATAACTTAATAAAAAGTTATAGGTGATTTTCTGAAAATTTCAATGGGAAAATGGCGGCCGACGGAGTTTTCAAACACATGGGGCTCTATGGCACCAGAAACCGAAAACGGGCAAAAATGGGCTCCATTTTCCCATTGAAATTTTCAGAAAATCACTTATAACTTTTGATTAAGTTATCGGATCGGGCTGAAACTTTGGCATCTGGTTGTGACCTCTAGCTCTACCTTTGGGCGGAGAATGAGCGTTCGGCGATGCCTCGTTTATTTTTCGATAAAAAAGACCGTGGGAGTTTTAAAAACATACTGTGTTGTAAAGGTTCCTCTTCCCAGCATCTTTGGTGCAGACCAAAAAGCGTGACTCCGGAAACTACTTTACTTGCAAAAACGCTCTTACCAAAAATCACGTTTTCGTCGTGCCAGACACTCGCCCCATTTCTAGTGAAAAGCGTCTGACTCGCAACTAAAGGGTCGTGGGTTCGAATTCCTCCTAAAATTCTTAATTTGTATCTTTAAGGCTCAATAAATACTTTTAAAAGTGAAATGATTCGAGACATACGGCGACCTTTAATTCGCATTACATGTCATGTTTTAATTACTCTCATTCCACGGATGATGTCACGTTTCACGTGAGCATTGTGGGTTGCTTGAAATTATTGCGCCAGGGTATGTAGCTCTGACGTCATGAACCTATCGACCAATCAGGATTTTCCAGTCACGCCACCGACATCGGCTTTTTGCGACATGAGCTCCTTAACGCTATCGAGTTAAAATCATCACTTAGCAGACGTGATGCTCATTTGCAAATTAAATTGACCGGCATCTTGTCAAGAACAAACCTCAACAACCGGGCTATGCCAGCTTATTCTGCATAAGAAAATGTTCACTTGAGCAAGCGCTATTTTGGGCTAGATTCGATCTGAGTGCGAAGGTGCGTATAGATTAGAGTGAACAATTGCGATTACTTCTTGCTGCATGATTAGTGGCATGCATGCGGTGCTGAGTGTAAACAATGTTTTGTTAGAACAACAGGCATTTGGATTGCCACTCTGTGTTTCTATAAAAATATAGACTGAAAGGATTGTTACATTTTGAAAATTTCAATGCTTTTAGCTCTGATGTGTCGTCATCATATACATATATATTGTGAAGTGTATTTCGTGAACCTTATTTCATATTTAGCATGAGCACGAAGTGCTTATTTCATAATTTTATGTGATGTAATTCCTTAGTTCAAGGACACAATCACGATATCCTTTTTAACACTGCGACACAAAGTTGTACCAATCACGGGTATTTTAGGCGACCTACCACACTTTGCGACAACATTTTATATCGTGTAAATAGATTAGCTTGAGCTTTAGAATTTCACTTATACACAAAGAAAGCATAGTAAAATACAGTATAGTTTTAAAATTGTAGCTGATCTATTTACAGGTATGTACCAACCAGCTCAACTCTTTACTCTTGTACTTAAACATTTTGATTCAGGCAAAATATATGTGACTGGTAAACAAAGGGATGTGGAGTCGTATGAACACGTTGTGTATGTTAAATTGTTAATGCAGATTTTTTTCTACTCTTGCGTCGAAATTAAATAACTAAATTTAATATTTTGGTACCTAAAAACAAAAGTAAATTGCACGGACGATCGAAGAAACTATATAGTTAATCGTTTCACGGCGTAAATAATGTATATGGCCAGTACAACGCCAAAAATATATTCCCAATTTAGCTGTTCAAACCGGTTCGAACCGGTTCGAACCGGTTTGGACCGATGTTTTTTGCTCCCCGGAACTGAACCGGAACCGAACCGAAAGCCGTGAACCCGAACCGGAACCGAAGCGATAAAAATTTCGGTTCGACACTCTGATCCATAGTACTATCGACTGCACTATGAATAGTCAACTATCGATAGTCAGCTTCCGATAGTACTATCGATAGTACAATCGATAGTTTTCCACACTATCGATAGTTTTAGAAAAACTATCGATAGTATAGATAGTAAATTTTTCGATAGTTTTGCATCACTACGACGAGGCGGAGAAGCGAGGAAATGGAGGTGCTGAAGAAAGCGGAGAGCGTCAGCTTCAAGGTCGACGGTGCGGCAGTTGTAACTTGCACCGTCTCTTTGGGCGGTGCAGTTCATGCAGCATGGCACCGGCGCCGTGCGCCGCAAGAAGTCCCAGACGAGCGTAGTGCCGTCGCACTGCCACGACCAACCGAAATTGAACCGTCCGCCTTTGCGGCGCGTTGCGCTCTCGTGCGTTCCAGACGAATGTGGCATAGTTTATCGAGACATGCAGATTTGCATAAGTAATGACTTTGGACACCTAATATAAAACTCCTGCTTTGGGATGCAGTTAATATATTTTCTATCACCACCTCAGGTTTTCGCTCTAAAAGTTCGGACCTTGTTAAGTTTCTTTAAGATATGTGTCTAATGGCAACACAAGATAACTATAGTTAACTTTTACTAAACCTGTAGTTTTGACTTTTACGATTGCCCACCTTTCACCTGCATTAAGGCTAAAATTCTCTGCATTTCTCAAAACTTAACCTTGTTTTGCATTATTCTGCTTACAGCGCTATTATGCATAGCACCGTTCATTTTCGAAGCTGAAAATAATGTTACACGCGAGCTACGGTAAACAGCATCGACATTTTCTGGCATATTGTCCATATAGTTTATTATATGTCATATTAATCTAAATCGAAGAGCACTGATCGTTTTAATGGCAGCTTTTCTGATACTTAAGTTCTAATGTCTGATTTTTTGATTTGTGAAGGAAAGACGTGAGGAATAGGGAAATTGGGTTTCCGTGGTGTGTTTTGGATTTGGTGTTAAAAAGTACCAAGAATATAAATTGCGACTTTTTCGAACGTTGTGAGTCATTTGCGTCCTAATACCTACAGGGGTGCTTCATTCAGACAAAAAAAGCGAAGCTTAATTCTTCCACTCGATTACGACTTCTCTGCAGCGGCCCCCTCCTTACCGAATACTGCTCAGTACAGCACTTGATACATGCCACTTACCTGACAATTTCATATTATATCATGTTAATTTGCATTGAGCTGAACGCCATTTCACATGCATTTTTAGGCTCAGAGCATTTATCGAAGTTCTTATGTCGCAACAGGCTTCGGTACCTTTGTTTTTGGCGTCTTCACGAACTTCACGCTTCGTAGAGCGTAGAGGAGTGCCATTTTCACTGACTGGAGTGCGAGTCTTCTGCCCAAGCAGTTTCTTGGTCCGGTGCCAAATGGAAGGAACGCGTAAGGATGAATGGAATCAATATTTGCAGCGGTGAACCTGTTGACAATTATAAGAAAACGTTATTCAGGTAAAATTTACTTTTTTCTTTACAGGAAAACACGTTTCAAAGGTGTATTGTCCGTTTTTTTTTAGGAAAGAGGTTAGAAATAACTTCCCAGAAAGTCAGCGAAAGAGATATTTATAGAATGTTAGTGTGCTTACAGACAGGTGGAAAATCAAGTAGGTTCGCTTCTTTGTGCGACAACGAGAGAGACGTGTAATCTATGATGAAAGGTAATTGCTGTCCGGACTGGGAACAGTCCGATGGTTTTAGTGCTATATTTCGCGAATAAGAAAACGTTATAAAACAACCTTTCTAGGAAGCTCAGCAGGTATCTAAGAAAATCGATATTTACGTATCTTCCATGCAAAATAGATATTGAATATTTAGAGGAAGTCCCCAATGTGGAGTATAGTTATATGAGAGTTGAATAAAAAGTAATTCTTCCATAAGCATAACTCGCGATTGAATAGGAATATTTCACTAAATAATATAGATAAGTAATATTGCGAATGGGCGCCATTTAATTAACTATACCCATTTCTCAGCATAGTCACCAAATAATTCAATACAGTTCTGCCAATGATAATCAAGTCTTGAAGCCGTGACGAAAGAATTTCACTTTTTATCGTAGCAAGTTCTATACAGGCATCAAAAACGTTTTTATTGAATCCATAGAGATATTCACCAAGGTCTTTTTAAAGTTTTGAGCAATGATAGAAGTTGCAGTGCGCGACATCTGGAATAATGAACGCGTAATTGGGGTGAGATTCGGTGTCTCAGTTGCTTCGCCCGAGGTGTAAAGTGCAGGGCGTGGTATTGTCATGTTGTAGGAAAACGTCTGGCTAGTTTATTAAATCCTGCTTAATGCTGGTTTAAAAATAAAAATCCGACGTTCTTAGTTGATTGTTGTTACTTGTTCTAGGAAATTATCGTGAATGTCATCATGCTCTTTATTGAGGTGTTGCCATAACTCTTTAAGCTGAAGTTCTTAATTTGATTTTTTTTTCTCGTGCGACCTTCAAGTATTTTTGCGCAACGAGGCTATGTGCTCACATCAAAACAGTCCCCATAAAGGGCATGCAGGTTTTTGTGAATATTTACTAAATAATACTTCATACTCTAGAGAACTGGATGACCAAATGGGGCCTAAACTTCCGTGACAAGTGTCCTGCACAGGTTTCTATTTCTTACAGTATAACTCTACAACCGTTCACTGTGACGACCTGACGCCAAATAAGGCGCTAGAAGAGAATTTGAACATTTTACTACTTTCGGGGGGTCAGTGCTGCAGTCTGTTTAAAGCGTACGAAGGTACGTATTGAACAGATGGCAGCGCTCTGTTCGACCCTCGTAAATTGACTTTCACCTAAAGGCAGAAAAATTATCCTTGTCCAGGTTTCAGTAGCGTAACATTTACAAGACTAGAAAAACAATCTATACCAACCGAGCTAACGGAGAGTTGGCTGACGGCCAACTGTTGGTTAGCTCTTCGTTGCAAGTGCGCATGCGTTTCTTTATCGCGCGGCGAGGGGGAAGCCGGCCGTAAAGGCGGGGACGCTGGCAGACGACTAAGGTGTTCGTAACTTCCCCGCAATTCGTGTTATAAACGCCCTGTCCTGTGTTATGCACACAGGACAGGGCGTAACTCTCAAGTGAAATTTATTAGATAAACGCATAAAAATTGCAAAATGCTGAACATGCGCAAAGAGAATAAATACACTTAGACTAAAAGCCCGAAGAAGCCGGACGATAATGGTGAATGGCAGAGGCTTGGCTTATAAAGGCATGTTCCTTATCGGAAAGGGCTATAAAAGGAGCGCTGAAAGGTCGACCCATGTGATTTAATCACGAATGATTAATGTATTTCGCGTTCTAGTTTAGTTTTAAAACTCCCCACAATCTTACTTCCATGAAAATCTGGGTGACAACACTGTACAGCCCAGTGGTCAGATGGGGATTGCCTAGTGGCAGGTTATGCTCTCTAATTCTATCATTGACGAACCTCTCCGTCTGGCCCACATACACGCTTCCGCATGACATAGGAATTTCATATGTGACCCCTATGGCGCACTCACGGAGCTTAGTAGCATGACGTTTCTTGCACACTCCTTCTGCCTTCCCTGACTTTCCTGTTTCTTTTTTTTTTATTATTTTGCATAACGTAGAAAGTTTGCTCGGCGCGGAGATAACGACAGGGATACAAAATCGATTCGCCACCTTTTTCAGGTTATGTGCTACCTTATGCACATAGGGAAGGACAAAGGGTCTGCTGTCCCTCCTAGCACTCTCGGCTTGCTCTCCATAGCTGAGCTTTTTCAACTTTTTTTTACCGAACCCTCCAAAACGTCGCATAGAGCCCGGAGAGGGCAACCATCTTCCTGCTATCTGACTAGGTGGGACTGGAAGGTAGAACTCATTCTGTGAGTACAGGATTTCTTCAAGGAGGCATTTGGGCACATGGAGGTTATTCCCCTTTCGCAAATAAATAAAACAATATATCACTGGGAGTGAAAAATATTCGAGCTTAATCGCTGCAATACATACTGCATAATATGTTTTCGGACTGCACCGGATATTAAATGTGTTAGCGGAGCCAGAGGTCGTTTTTACGTGTTGATAAATTTCCTCCCATAGTAATTTTTCTTTTATTCAGTCGTGGCGGTCCTATATTACTTACTGTCCTTGTCTTATCCCCCCCCCCTGCTAAATCGCCCCGACCCCTGAAGCTGCCCCCTGCAACTTGCAGGCGACGGCTCTATGGGGGGCGAGAGGGAGTGGTACTGGGTGGTTTATGAACCAGAGGTTGTCAAGAAAGACAACGATAATGTTATTCCCTTGCCCAAGCCCGACGGCACGAGATTAAACAACATTTTCCCCTTTGCTTGGTCTTGTTTTAACAATCTCTTTTGTCCTTTACACAGAACGCACTACACCTATTTCAGCTATTCGAGGCATAACCTTTAGTGGCTTCAAAATTCTCGATGTTGGCATAGTATAGTGAATGCCATACCAGTATAACTCGTTGAACAGACAATCTAGGTCAGAACGCAGACTCGTTTGGTAGATTTATCAATAGTGTTATGTTTAAATAGAGAGAAAACTTTAAGTTTGCTCTTACCTGTCTGGGTTGAATGTGTCTGGGTCAGGATAAAACTCAGGGTCATGGTGCAGCGCGTAAACGGGGATGGCAATGGTGCATCCTTTGGGAATGAGTATCCCCGTGTCACCGAGAACGTAATTTTCATGTGGTGTCCTTTCCAATCTATTTAAAAATATATACGACATTATAACAATGCGTCTTGTTTAAAGGTCATCAGAATATTTGGAAATTAAATTGAGAAGTTATGAAAGCCGCATATCTTAAGATACCTCGTGTCATAAAATGAAACGAACTTATGGTTTTTAAGAACCATCATGAAATACATTCAAAAATTTCCGAAAAAGTATGAATGTATAATGATTAATTGAGCGAAAATAAAGAATGCATACGAAATCACCTCGATCCAGGGGGATACATCCTGAGACCCTCACACACCACAGCGTTGAGGTAGTCAAGCTTTGAAACAATATCGTAGTTAAGAGAGTCACCCTGTAATAAAAACGAGGAAATACTTGTAGTGCCAACTACTTTCTTTTTAGACAGCTATGTAGGACTGGCAATATAATTCTTTTTTATGCGTTTTTATACTAACAGATTAATTAATTTTTTTACCTAAGTCCCAAGACGCAATAGTTTTATAAGAGTTTCTATCATACGGTTTATTACACCCAACATATGTTACAGCTCACCTCGCCTTACTTGGGAAGCAGAATGCTTTCGAAGGATATATATATATATATATTACAATGACTGGGGCGTGAAACCATCATTTTCCCGCAGTTTATATTTGCAGATTCGTATTTCGTTAGGTGTAAGATTACGAGAGAACTATTTTGTACTATTTACTTTACTAATGAGATTATCTTAAATGAAGTAAAATACTTTTTAGTGTTGTGTCGTCTACCCACAGTCTCAGGGTTTTTTCAACCAAGTTAAAGGCAAACTGCGCCTTTATAAAAAAAAAATAAAAAAAATATTTTTTCAAGAAATTTTTTTTTTTATTTTTTATACAGATTGAAGCGTTTATACTTACATGTTTTTCAAAGCATTCGTCGACCTCTTTTCTGAGCCTTTCTTGCACGACAGGATTCAAAGCGAGAAGGTAAGTTATGTACGTAGCCACTGAAGATGACGTGTCTAGCCCCGCCAGAAACATTATTATACACTGGGAAAGAACCTCGTCTTCTGTTAAACCTGATAGAAAAACACAAAGGTGAAGTTAGGGTGTGAAACTAATTCACCAATGAAACCACAAAAAATATTTGATATAAAAGATATTTGTTAACTATTTTAAAACTAACTTTGGTAAATCTTCCATCTTGGACTACCTGTTGCTCACAGAAACGCTATCATGAATGAGAAGCGCCTCCAAAGTTTACACTGATGAGTAATATATGTCAGAATTAAGAAAAAATAATAATAATTTCGACATAGCTGTGCAGGGAAAAAAAGTTTGAACGGCATGAATCACCTTGTTTTAGGAAGGAAAGAGGAGCAAGGTTATGAAGTAAGCAATGTTAGTGAGATAAATATTATGTGAATGATCGTGTTTGTCAAAATCTGATGAACTAAGTAAAAACTATTGTGATAACAAAATTTCACACTCACAGCATCTTGATGCGTAAGTTCGCTAGCTACTTCATATTCACCACCCCGACTTCAACAATTATCAATACGTGGCAGACATTTTTGAATACGGGAGGTTGAAAAAAGAATAATAAAAGCCCTAGTTTATACTAGGAAAGTAGTCTATTAATATCATCACTAATAATTGGTGCCTTGAATACGCTGAGGGATCTATCGTCCTAGAGCTCTCGTTTAGGTTTTGGGTAAGTGTAGTCCTTCTCAACCGTACCAGAGACCCTACTATACGCCCTGCTTGCTGCGCTTTGTCTGGGCACTCCCCAATGTTTATATGGGAAGCATAAGCATACAATTTATTAGTAATGGGGTGCTTGTGCGTTCCATCTCAAGTTATCAGCGTGTTTGGGTGCGGTTACAAATACCTATAAATTTATAAAAATGCAAGAATAGCACCTACCATGATTTGACATCTGCGTATGTGGATTGGAGTCGGAGTCACCGTGAAATAACGATTCTTTGCTTTGTACATTGTTGTGAGTTGTCTCACCGTCCTGTGTTTCCTGAGCATCTAGGATCATTTGCAGCAGGTCCTCATATTTCTGAAAAATGGAAGTGCGCATAGAACCGCGGCGTAATTTTCTTCGCTTGCCTTCACTTACACATTGACTTGTCTTCCTGGCCTCTATAATTCGCAGGGAAATTTTCCTAAAAAATTCAAACGCTTTCTCGTTGAATCGCTTGACGTGAAGCTCCCCAATGAAGTTCTGGAAAAGAACTAAAAACAAGGTAGAAAAGACCATATTAACTCAACAGTCATTAAAATAAACGCTTGTAATGTGCAGGGATGATCGGAATTTGGCTTATTCACTGCGATTATTAATCCGTGTCGTCTATAAAAAAATGCGCGCTCTAATGTTTATTAAAAAAATTTGACGGTCGATATGCCTCTCAATTCTCGCGTCGCCGTTCGAGTGACGTACTCCGGTAAATCACCTGGTTTCCCGTTTGGTTCTCTTTTCAGAGATCCCAACCGCTTGCTCCGCGATTGTCGACTCTTTAATGATTAGCGTCGTCGAAGGTCGCCGCATGCGCTCGACAGAAAAGAGGTTTGCCACGGGGCTGGCTGCGAGTGTAGCAGCCGAAGGGGCAGGTTTTGTTGACTTCCGCGTGTCCACCAGAGACGTGTCACTGTAGTTCTCGTAACCGCCACAGGCGGCTGCAGATCGAAAAATAATTAGTTTTTACCTTTGCGATTACGCAGCGGAATAGCAGTTTTTCGGGGCAAGGTGACGCGTTTTTGTTTCTTGTAATTAGATAGACAATAAAAAAATTTCGAACAGCAGATTGTTTTAACAATAAAATCTTTAAGGGTGCTGGTGTGCTGGTTAAAGTTACATTTTTAACCCTCGAGAAAGGGGGAAAGAGAGGGCCATGACAACGCACTCTCTTGGGTTAAAAACGTCTAAAATCAGAACGTTGACTGAACAAAAAAATCGACAAGATCATTTACCTTGAAGTGCGATGGGGAAAGTAACCCTTGTGAAGAAGGGGTTTTCGCTGTTATTCACAATTGCTCGCATCTCTTCCTTTTTACCTTCCACGTCAACTCCGAATGCACAGCTTGAAATTACCTTTAGAGCGTACAGACTGTAGATCCTGCATTTAAAAGGTTTCGGTGACTTCAAAAGTTGAAGCTGGCGAATTAAAAAAAAATATGAAAGAAGGAATACATTTTTTTGCATTGAATATTTAAGACATATTTTGAGCAGCATGGTAATTTATTTTAACAGAACGGATCAGAATGGGCATACATACTTTTTAATATTTTCGTCACTCTTCCTTTCTGCAGTGTCTTTCATGTGCACAGCCGCGAGCCTTGCGCATTCTTGAATCATGTCGTTCATCTGAAAAATATTGTTCCTATTATCACAATACGAAACTTATATTTAGGTATCAGAATTTGCACTATTACTTCAAAATTTTGATATTGCGATATTGACCAAACACAATACACTCTTGAAAAGAGCTGGTGATATGTACTAGGCGAAAGCTAGTAACTGCTAGTCACATATGTACCAGGTACCTAGTAACAGTAGGTAGTAACGATCAAGCTAGTAACGGCTATTAGGTCAAGAAGCTATAACCGGTTTCTAACCAACCCAGTATTTGTGCCAGTTACTACCTTTAGGTAGTAACTGGCACAACCTCTCACAAGACCCAGGTGGCGATAGTTAACGTCCAATTCAAAATTTAGATAAAATTATTATCGCTGGGATCGATTTTTTTTTCACTTCTTATATCCCCGTTCGCACAAGTATAATTAATTTAACACAAACAAGAAATTAGAACACAGATGACACACACGCACAACACGGACGCGACGACACGCTAACCCAATCGCGGCACCCAATGACTGCCCATATTTCTTACTGATCATATGGGGGAAGTCGGTTGGTCAGTGACCACCTCGTCCGTGAACGATGTTACCAATAAGGTGCTGCTTTCGCACTAATATTGTTCTCCAATGTTGTTGATAAATATTGCAAGGAAGGTTTTTCTTACTATGAAGTAGCGGTACCCACAGTAATTATTTGGGGCAGTCTATAAGACAGTGTGACTATAGGTTCCCGGCCACCATGTTCTCGCTTCCCGGCATAACAACTGTAGTTACTACTGCATTTTGACGAACGCAGCGCGTTTGAGGAGTAGATAGTAAAAAGGTAGTAACGGTCTGAAAAAAATAGTAACTTCTGCATTTACTAACGTTTTACTACCAATCGCGCGTTCGCATTTGATGTAGTAAATTGTAAAAGGTAGTAACGCTCAGAAAAAGGTAGTAACTTGTCTGGTGTTTCCACGTCAGATTGTACAATGACTGTCCGGTTCATATTATTTGTCTTTTTGTAATAAATATATGTAAAAGCCATGTTCTTTGGAGAAATATTCAGCTATATGTGAACGACGTGGAAAATTTTTCCCCAGATGCATAAAATTGAGACGCTCAAAATGTAGACATTGCCGTGATTTCAATATTGTAATTTGCACAGCCGCCAATGCCACACCAAAGCAGGCACGCAGGTATACACATTTTCATTTTTGTTATAAACAATTTACAACATGCACACCGAATATTAAGAATTACAATTATTTATTTCTACGAAAAAAGAAATGGTTCGAAACACGTAAAAAAACACATTTTAGGGACACTTTCACAGATTTACCAACATATATAACTTCATGCAAAACGTCGCGTTTTGCATGTGAAGGTTTGTTGTCGCATTTCTCAATTAGAGTTCATATGCTACTCAATATTTTGCCTTCATAAGACAGTTCAAGTGGCTGCAACGAGATAAGGAGGACGAAAATAACCCCTGGAGAAGGGGAACAAGAGGGAAAAATGACAAACAAATCTCCAAACACAGTTAGGTGACTGGTGATTGACCAAAAAAATCCGCCCAGTCCGGGTATCGAACCCGGGACCTCTCCATTACAAGTGGAACGGTCTACCAACTGAGCTAACCAGGGGTTAGACGTCAGTAGAGCAAACGGATTTATCAGCCGCCATGTCTTAACACCAACAAGGGTGAAGCTTGCAAATTTAAGGTTATAATTATAATGCAATTAAATGCAAAGGTGCAAGCGAGCTGAACAAGAATGACGAAAATAATCCCTGGAGAAGGTGAACAAGAGGAACAAAGGACAAACATAAATCTCCAAACACAGCTAGGTGACTGGTGAGCGACCGACCGGGCGGATTTTTTCGGTCGCTCACCAGTCACCTAGCTGTATTTGGAGATTTATGTTTGTCCTTTGTTCCTCTTGTTCTCCTTCTCCAAGGATTATTTTCGTCATTCTTGTCCAGCTCGCTTGCACCTTTGCATTTAATTGCATTATAATTATAGACATAAGGAGAGTTTAGAAAAATAAAACATGAAGTGTTGTTTTCAATATTGACGTGACTTAAGTTTTTCCACTATCCACAAAACTAGAATATTGACTAAACAAATATTTTTATATATTCGTAAGCTGCATTTCCAGACAGACAATAAAGTTTATTGTCTGTCTTGAAATGCAGCTTACAAATATATAAAAATATTTTCTTAGCCATTATTGTAGTTTTGTTTTAATGGAGAAACTTGTCGCGTAAATAAATAAAAAACTGCATGTTTTTTTTCAAACCCTTTTTATCTCGTTGCTGCAACTTCAACTATCTTGTGATGGCAAAAATGTTGAGCAGCTTATGAACTCTAATTGAAGAATGCGACGACAGACCTTTACTCAAATTGAGCTAGATTGTCCTTGTTATGGGGACTTTGTATCACGACGTCGGCTCCCAAGAGATATTCTCTAGAGCCGACAGAGCGTGTACTGCGGTGCTGCTCTATTGCAGGGTGTAGAACGTCGTCATAACTTAAAACCATGGGAGTAGGAATAATATTAATAAAAAAGGGCAACATAACACAAACTCCCCAAAACAGCTGAGTTCATTCGACCAAACCAAAACAAGAAAATATAAAGAAAACAGAACATGACATCGCGAAGATTTGACCAGACGTGGCTTGACAGGCTAAATTCCCACAACACTGGATACGCTTCTGAAAACGAGCATCCGCCGCCAAGCACCCGGAAAGATAATCTCCGTCAAGGCTACGAGAACCGACCAATTTCCTAATGTCAGGGTGCTAGCTGGTCATAATGTTTCCTAACCAGCTCGTTTGCGTGCGTTCACTTCTCGAAAAGACATACTGTTTCAAGCTTCGTTTTATCTTTCAGGTTCTTTGTGATGCATTTTAAGCCTCCACCCTCCCCCCCCCCGCCCCCCCGTGCCCTCTTATTTCCTAAGGAGTTTTGGCAGACGCCACTGCTGCCGGCATGCCGGCAGTTGCGAACACATTGCCTTGAAACTCAAGCGCGCACACAGGGTCAGTCACTTCGCAAACAAAGCGAGGGAAGTCTTCTTTCAGATGGTATCTCCAAATACCAACGTGAAAGTTTCTGAATGCCTCTCTCCAAGCTCCTAATGTTTGGTTAGTGTGGTTAACCGAAAACAGCAAGAAAACGTCCTTGTGGTTACCAAAGTCCATCTGTATTCCTTGACCGTTATTTTTGACGTTAATACTTTGAAATGATAAACCAATGCTGTTTGCTCTCCACCTCAGAATATTTAACTCCAAGATAGCGACCCCCCAGATACTATTTCTATCGCTCTGTTTACGCGATGACTGACCTTCCTTTTGGGCGCGCTTGAGTTTTAAGGCCATCTGCCATTCCTATTGTTCGCAACTGTTGGCAGCTGTAGAGTCCGCCGATACTCCTTAGGAAATAAGAGGGGGAGGGGGGGGGGGGGGCTGAGGAGGCAAAACAAGGAAAGTGAAAGATAAAACAAAGATTGGGTCAGTATGACTTTCTGAGAAGTGAACGTATGCAAACGACCTAGTCAGGAAATAACATAACCTAACACCCTGAGATTAGGAAGCTGGTTGTGATCTCGTAGTCTTGACGGAGATTACTTTTCCGGGTGCTTGGCGGCGGATGCTCTTTTTCGGGAGCGTGTCTAGTGTTGTAGGGATTTAACCTGTCAAGCAACGTCTGGTCAAATCTTCGCGACGTCATGTTGTGTTTCCTTGATATTTCCTTGTTCTTGTGTGGTGGAATAAACTCAGCTGTTCTTGAGATTTTCTGTTGTGTTGTCGGTTGTTTTATTCTTCCTTGTCCCATGGTTATAAGTTACGACGACTTTCCATGCTCTGCTAAAGAGCATCATCATTGTAGACATTTTGTCGGTCCTAGAGATTATCTCTTTGGTGCCGACTTCAAGCGGCAAAGCCCATATAAGGAAGACACGCTAGCTCATTTTAAGTGAATGTTTGTTGTCGATTTTTTTCAATTTGAGGTCATATGCCACTCAATACTTTGCCATCACAAGTTAGTTCATGTTACTACAAGGAGATAAGGAGAATTTAAAAACAGTAAAAGATAAAGTTTTTTTATAACTAGTAACGTGCAGTTTTGCTACTTTTAGAGGAATGACTTACGTTTCTGAATTAAAAACAAAACTACTGCAATGGCTAAGCAAATAGTTTGTATATATTCGTATTAAGCAGCATTTGACGGCGCACATTCATACTCATTTTGCGACGTTTCGCATAAAGTTGTTTGTTGATAACTTTTGGATGTCTGTCTAAAACTTGTTTTTACGTGTTTCGCAGTTTTTGAGTAAAAATATATCTTTGTAGTTGTTAATATTTGATGGACATGCTGTAAATTGTATATAAATAAATTTAAAAAAATTAACTACATGCCTGCTTAGTTGAGACATAGGCGGCTGTGCACGTTACCATAATGAAATCTCGGCAATGTCCACGCCTCGAGCTTCTAGAATTTATATGTCTGGGCAAACGTTAGCTACGGCGATCACATATAGCTGAATATTCCTCCCAAGAACATGACTTTCACATGTATTTATTACAGAAATATAAAAAAGTATGACCCGGACAGTGATTGTACGAACTGACGCGGAAACACCCTGCTGCAGTTACTAGCTTTTTATTAGCTTTTTTTTAAGAGTGTAGGAACAATTTGTGTAAGAATATACTTCGGCTTAAATTGTACGAAAAGCAATTTTTAACTGCTAAAGACTAGTGTGTTTATTTGCTACTTATGAGATATTCCTTTTCATTAGTTTACAAATTGGTAAATGAGGACACATGTCATTGAATAATAGTGAATCACGACGAAAAATAATTCCGAATGACGTTGGGGACGTTGGGGAAGAATCAAGCGTCACTATCTATGTTGCAGATGAACGGTGTTTAAACGACATCGCGGTTATGAAGGAGGGAAACGTCGAACAACAGAGTTTGGAAGGCCTGCGTACCTGAACGTATATTAGACTAGCCACTACTTCTCTACCCAGAGCCGCATGCTCCTGTGGCTTTATTAATTTATGGCTTATGATTTTAACAATTGTCTAAATGGTTAGGTTTACATTTGCCTCCAGGATACAAGTATGCTATCGTTCCATAAAGATCGGGTTGTTTTACGACTGGAAACAGTAGCTGTTCTAAATAATCCCTGATCCATCTGTCGGAAGCGTTCTTACTTATGAAGTTTCTTTTCATCTGGCACTGATGGCATGTCATGAAAAATGAAATATCCTGGTGAGTTTTTATCACCTGGCATTTTAAACACTTTTGAGATGCTCCAGGGTGTAGAATCACATTTGTGATTTTGATTACCTTTGCCGTAAATATGGGTGATGTTCGCCTAAAATGCAAGAATACCCAACAACATACAAGATGCCAACGCCGAGATATTACGGTTCCTGAAGATACACCCAAATATATCGGGTGTGTCAGCGGAGACTTAATAAAATTTCTACCTAAAGGGTGGTTAACAAAAGAGAGTAAAAGAGCCTATTCGGAAGCAAACTGTCAGCCACGCCGGATGTGAAAGATTGCAAAAAACAACAACTAATTAGTTGTTCTTCTTAATTAGTGAAAATAAATATATGGCTTAAATTAAAAACTAGCATGAGCCTCATTACAAACCCCTAAATCAGTAAATTGTGGCAGGACTTAGAGGATGTGTGGAGCGCGGAAGTACGCTGAAGTCACCATTCGTGCGGCAGCCACAAGGCTCACGATGCGAAAAAGCGGATGACAAGAATATCGTTCCCGTTTTCACATACGCAGCTTCGTGCCTGCCGCATGTGTGGTACTTTCAGGGCACCGTCCCGCCTCGCAACGTGCTTTAAGGTTTCCTAACATTTTAGTTAGGATTTTTCAACAACTCTGAGAAAGTTTGTAATTAGAACGATATGTTTATTTTTAGTAATTGAAATGTGAATGAGTAAATAACGGGTAATAATTTAGCTAAATAGCATGTTTTTAATCCCCGATGTCTGCCATTTGTTTCCTAAAATAATTTATTTTTTCTCAACCACCCTTTTGGTAGGCAATTTTTAAAGTCTTCGATGAAAAACAAACTGGGATCTCATAACAGTATTAAATAGCACGCTCCCCATTCTATACAACTTGAAAGTTTCAGAAAAGGTTGCAATTAAATTGTGTTGACCATACACCAGGGAACATTCAGGTTGGAATATAATAAATGAATTTACCTTACGGAGTTTTCCAGTTGTGAAAGCCGGAGAAGTGGTGTTGCGAAGTCTTCGCCAGTTTTCAAGTGGGGCAAATATTATCATGCTCCTCATCAGACGGTTTTTGAAAGACATTATCTTGGAGAAAGACGACACTGGTTTAATTGTGAGTAAATGAAAAGGGGCCAAAGAAAACTGTAAAGTTAGTTCAGGCATCAACCAAACGTGAGTTGGATATAGCAGCTTGTATTTAACATAATATTATTTAACAACAGAGAAGCCTTAATTGTTTTATTATTGTGCTGCGAAAAGTCTTGTAGATTTTGCTAGAACTAACATTTTCGACAATAAATGGTGGAATAAGTATACGTTTATTGTAATAAACAAAATCATTGGTTTCTGCTCTATATTGCTCCCTGCTAGTTTTATAAAAACATTCAAATAAATGACTTCAATTATCTCGGGAGTAAAAATAGACTAAACATTTAAACAAATATTTATTGTTGCACTCAATCGAGGACAAGTTTAATCAACGTAGGTTTTGTGATTGACGAGAAGTGAACCTTTATGCTACTTCCAGAGATTGAGACTGCAAAACGTGCCCATTTTATGCAGCTAATGAACTGTAACACTTGATAAAAGATCACCTAATACTGAAAGAGACGATATTGAATATATGTTTTATTAGTTTTTAATGCAACTTTAACTATTCATAGTGTATTGTACTTCACCACAACGACCCATTAAGAACAAATTTATTTCCCTAATCTAAAGCATTTACTAAATAATTTGGTTACACAAGTGACCAGTAGGTCGGAAGATAGAAAATAAGTGACATTGTTCATAACTGAAACTTCAATCGGAATTAAACATCAGCTGTTTTTTTTTTCTATGGAAAGTAAGAGACCATTATGCCAGTGTTTACCCTCATATGATGCCAGTGTTTACTCATAAGACAAATGTCAAACAAAAATACTTAACATTCGGTCGTACTGTTTCATAAAGTATTACAAGGGAAGGTGATTGCAGAATTTATTAAGAAAACTTTAGGCGCAGCTGCCTCTGCAATTATACTGTTTGATCAATGCGATTAAAGTAGTTTAGTTCATATTAGAGGTTGTTTATAATTACGCTGTACCGAATGTTGTTCCCGAAGTCCTCCCATTATTTGCTGATTATTTTTTTAATCAAATGCCCCAGAAGTAAATGTTAGAATAGAATTTTCGTTTTTCCTAAACTTCGCACTAGAAAGAAAATATTAAAATAATTCAACATACCCTTCGATTTATTAATGAAGAGAAGTCCTTCACAAACACATACTTCAACAACTCTGGCTCCGCAACGTAAAGTGTAGGTCGTCCGTCTTCAAAGGTACTGCAAGTCAAATTATGTGAATCCAAACAAAATTGTTATGAACGTGAACATCTAATCTCTTACCCGAAGAGTCGGCCATGCTTTTTGCACAACTCTTCTTCCACTTCGTGGAATGGCTGTAAATGTAAGCGGAGTTAAGAAGTCGAGCCTGCCATCAACAGAGTCAATGCGCAATTGGAGATTGCAAATCAGTTCCAAAAAGAGTGAACGCGTAATCTTTGGTCTAATATAACTCAGTGTAAAATAAAGGCACACCTCACCTTGTCACGCGAAGGACCGTACTATTTTTTGAAAGAAGTGTTACATTTATTTTTATAACAAACACTAATTGAAGGTGAACTTAACCTTTAGACAATTTTATAGTGGCAGACTAAGTTAGTGTTAGGTAAGGAAAGATTAATGCGAGAACCGCGTTAGGTTCTCGCCTAATGGTTGGCGTTTCTTAAATGAAGGAGCGTGGGATCTAGGAATGTCGGACCAGATGCTGCGAGATTTTACAGCACGGACCACTTTAAAACACGAGGGGTAAAAAAAGTGTCATGTAATAAATTCGGATCACGTGAACATAACGTACTCCCGTGGTCATTCAAATATTCACGTGACCCCACCATAAATCAAGTCCCTGAGTTCACTTTCCAGCAGAACACGGAGAGGGACAATGACGGCGAACAATAAAATGATTCCAGCGAATGACGAAGCTCAGAACGCAAGGCAGAAAAAATGCGACGTGAGCAGGAACATTGATCATGACCTTTCACTTGCGATATCCTTGTGCTCATCGCACTTTTCAGATTCAACTTGCTTCTGGATGTTTAGCCGAAAATGGGGTATGAAACTTGTATGTTGCAAAATGCAATTGCATCCGCTTTCGCAGAAAATTGCTAGAGGTCCAGACGATTTTCTATTAGAACGCTTATATTGCCCTACTTGAGGTACAATGCCTGGGAGGCGTCTCTGTCCGATCTGTTTATCGCGTCCAAAAAAGTGGTCCATTGATTACCGCCTTATGGCGTCACAGAAATGTAAGGTCGTCGCCGCCCGCGGTCCTGGTGAAGTCACAGCGGCGGTGGTAGATGTGGGAGACGCCTGCTCTGCAATAGGCCGCTCTCCACTTTTGCAGTCCACGGAAGTTTCGGGAGCCAGGAGTAGGGAAGCCATTATGACAGCGACAGTGGCGTTCGCTCGTATTTTTTCGCCGGGACTTCTTGCACCAGCGACTAGGATCCCGACATCCGACAGCATAACACACCGGTTTTTTGTGACGCCATTTGTTTCTACTTCGGGAACACATTCGATGCATGTGCGGAATAGGACGCTAAGCACACATCATTCTGAGACGCGCTCCAGGCTCCGCGCTTGAGGGTGTGCAATATATAGGAATAATTGCTTTCCTAACTTAGCGTGGCATTGTTGTTTTGAATAAGTAACCATAAAAGCCGGCCTAGGAGCGCTAGTTCGTCTGCTCTTTGCACAGGGGATTGCGATGATGTCATCGCAACTCCTGCGAAAGAAACAGACGACTTGCTCTCCGGATTGCTAATTTAAATGAGAACAATTTAGAGACACACCTCGAGACGCCAAGGAAGTTTTATACATGCCTAATATCTGTTCTAGTTTAAAATATGTAAACCTCTGATTAATAAACTGGAAGCAATTCAAAATCAACCTCTTTGTTTTGCTACTAACTCAGCAATTTAATGTGTTTGGTACTGAATTAATTAAGAGCAAAAGAAACCTGTCATAGGAATCGAGCTCCGCCACCAGTTATCGTGATATTCGTTCTTAAATCATGAAGTGTGCAAAGGAATTGACATCACAAAATAGCCTTTAGCGGAGAAAAAATGCATCTACATCGACATTCCGAAGTGTAGATCACACTAGTAAAATACGTGAGATAGTGCGTCGTACATTTGTCTTAAACGCGTCATTTTTTTTTTACCGAACAATGAATCAGGTAAACAAACTTCCCGACGCCGTAGTTTAGACCTCTGATGAGAACTTTGAAAATGCGTTCATGCAGCATCTACATGAACGTAACACGACGATTATGAATTGTATTGTTTTTATGCCGTAGGTACAAACATTCTTTTCTGGTATTGAGTTTTTTAATGGTTATGTGTTAATTATTCTTTTGCGTGTTGAAATGTAAAATTGTAAAATGACAAACATTTATTAATTTGTTTGCTTGTTCGCGGTTTTAGTTTGGACAGAGCAAATTTCTGTACTTTGTTCATTCATTGATTCTCTATATCTTGCAGGTCCTTGGTGTTTTTTGTGTTGATCTTGAATATCTTCAAAGATAATATAGTAAGAATGCAGGCGAGCTGGTGAATGTTAACCATGTTGAACAAACCTGAGACTGGGGCAGAAATGAACATATAAGTTGAAGGAACAAAAAAGGACAGGACAACGCTTTCGACTTATATGTTGATTTCTGCCCCAGACTCAGGTTTATTCAACATGGTTGAATATGTTGTCTGTAATTTAGCCCCTACAATAATCTCTGACAAGCTAAGTGTGTGCAACTGAGAAAAAATCTAAAAAAGTATATATATGTATTTTAAAGCGAATGTTTATCAAAATGTTGTGCTAAACAGCAGGCTCAGCGCAACGCTGGTCGGTAAGCTTTTCGTTTATGAACTCAAAAAGAAAGGTTGGGAGTTTGACATATTTGTTTAAAAATCTGCCAAGTAATATTGAAGGACTTCGCTACATGCAATTCGAGTTTGTATGGGCTGCCCTTGAATCTTAAAGTTCCCCACTTGTGCGCTTGGCTAAGGGTGTGTGTGTCTGTAAAGGACACAGGTGGCGTGATGACCCCTAACGGTTGTGACACATTTGGTTTTGTACATATTCAAATGTTGGTCTAATCGTTTTTCCTTGTGCTTTCTGTAACCGAAGTATAAACATATTATCAGAAAACGAAAAGAGAGCGATCTGCGCAAGTTAAGTGAGAACGAAAAAGCGTAGACACCAGTCAAAAGACAGGGACAAATAAGGAAACGGTGGGAACAATTGTCCTGACCCTCGCAATTTACGATCGTTCCTTTTTAATTTTCGCTCAGCGTTTAATGACCCGCTCTTATCACAAAATTTACAGTTCTATTTAGAATTCCAAAATTATGCATACCTTGCGCATGAATTGGAGCGTTGTGCCGAAGAACAGTGAAAGTTTTTCGTAGGGTACATTCTGATTCTTCCAGTAATTTTTGTGTCGAGTAGCCCGGCTGTAATAGGGCAGAGCGTTAGAAAAATTAGCACACCGAGATAATGAGTGATTATCCAAACTAAAGTGTATTCATGCCGCTGTTAGCTATGCCAGAGGTTGGTGCTGGCCTTGTGCTATCGTTAATATTTCTATATTTCCTCTCATGTCACTCTTCCTTAAACCTTCGTCGTATTTACTTTTCTCCGCGGAGCAACGTCAGCTTCTTTTGGTGGGTTGTCTGAACAGATTGATATTTTAATGATTCCTGTACTCTGCAACGCAGTTAGCGCAAGCGTGACATAGGCGATTTTTGTTTTGTTTTGTATCGCACAGTCTGTGTCCAAAAACACTCATCTTTACCGCACCAGTTGGTGTTTAAGATGAGCACGCCAGTTGTAATGGCGACAATCTTTCAGTTTTGACACAAATATAGTAGAACCGGCGATTATTCGTTTTTAAATATGTTGCGTGCTGTATGCATTTGCGCCCCTTACGTTAATGTTTACAGTTTATTTGTAATTCTGCGTCGATGTTCAGAGCAGAGACATTAAAAACACAGGCGGTACTTTATGAAACTGCAATGACACTTTCACGAAAATAAAACAGAAAAGGTTGTTATAGAAAAAGTTCGTATTGCATAGTCTGTGTCAAAAAAAAAAAAAAAAAAACACACAACATTACCACATCAGTAGGTGTTTAAGATGAGCACACTGATCGTAATGGCGACACTCAGTTTTGACTCAAATATAGAAGAACCCCTTGCTCAGTTACTTCGTCCCTTATAATTGATATGCGCTCACAAAAGCGCCATTCCCATGGCTAGTGTCTGGATTTAATTGAGATATAAACTCAAATATTATAGCATTATAACGCAGAAGAATAGGTCATATTATAGGGGCAGGTATTATCCGCCAGCAGCTAGAGCAAACTGGAAACCCAAGCTATAGTACGTCCCTTTAAGTTACGGTTCCTGACTGAAGTTTTTTCTTTCACGTAAGTCATACTACGAAAACTTAAGAAATCACAGAAGTATAATAAAAGAAGACAATAATAGGCTCAGGATAAATTAAGGCGAGGCTTACGTTTTATAGAAACTAGCATTAGTGCATTTCGCGCGAAAAAATAACCATGGTTATTTGTTTTAATATACTTCGGGTCACATATGGGACAGACATATGCCCTTGGTTGCATGCTAAGTCAATTAGCATGTCATTTTTAACGTTTTAAGGGGTCATAGATGTCTGCGGATAAAATAATTATCTATGTCAAATTTATTTTGTTGTGAAGGGCAACAATGAAGCTGATTTTTGTCAACGGAGAACAATGAAACGTTCACATTGAAAGTTTAATGCTCATTCGCAGGCACCCACCTTCACCAAGAAAAAAAAATAATTCTAGACAAAAAAAAAAAAAAGCTTGATACTCACAGGTAGATTACGATGCCCAGCAGAGCTAGCCCGATGAACCATTCCGGAATAATTAACCATCCAAGAAACAACATATTTATACGAATAGGTTGACTAGCTGCGTTTGGAAGACAAAACTGACGACGCAGCAACTCCTATGGCAGTCCTATCTCTAACACACTTGGAGCAAACATCTTATCTAAAATAACACCTTATCACGCCACCACTCATAGGAGTCCAGATAGGTATCCAGTGCTCCTCTCGATTTTGACCTCATGGAATGACAGCGGGACCTGCTTGATTCTGTAACGGTGTCACCTGCCAAAGTTTGATGATAAACCAGTCTTTGTTCAATTCTGCCTCGAGACAGCAATTCCCCTGCCCTACTTCAAGATCCCATGATATGGTTGCAATATAATAATAAGGAAAAAAGAAACTGCCACGCCATGTCAACAAGAAAATAGAAGCCCTTCTTATGAGTTATGAATGCGGAAGAATTCTTGGCGCCGAAAGAGCCGAAGCGGCCGCAGCGCCAGCAGGGAGTGCGGCGATGCGGCTAGCAGACGGAGCGGGAATTTCCCGCTCCCCCCTTCCCCCCCCCCCCCCCCCCCTTTCCCCCTTTGGCCGTCCGGCCACACCTGACCAACACCACCTGACACAGCTGCCGCGGGCGAGCCACCCTCTCCCTCTGTACCGGCGCACTGGCCGCAGCGCCATAGGAGATGGCTTTTTTGTGGCGTGGCGCTCCTTGGAAGTATGACACGTGAGGAGAGGGCATTTCCAGCTCCCCTTTAGCGCCCCCCTCTTCCGGGCCTCGGGCCACGCCTGACACGTTACCCGTGAGGGGGAGGGGGAGCGGAGCTGCCGAGCGTGCCACCCTCTCTTTAGTTGCCCGTTTTTCGCAGTCACAAACAACGCCGGCTGCTCTCCATAGGCGTCGCATTAGTTGCCCGTTTTTTGCGGTCACAGACAACGCAGGCGGCGCTCCATGGGAAACTTAAGGCTTTCGCATTAATAAGAGCTCACATGATAATATCAGTGTCGTATGTCGTACAATAAAATCGTGCAGGAATCATTGCTGTTTTATTCTATCGTAGGCTCTCATATCATACAATGACAGTAAAATATCGGCGAAATGAAGGTTGCTGAGAAAAAAAAATGAAGAAAGAAAAGACAGCTGCATTGATGGACGCATATCACGCACTTTGGGGGCCGAGACGAAAGACGCGGGGGAAGAGAAACTTAAAAATAAATGTAGGTCTTCTAAATTTATAATCAAGGCTTTTTCCATTTAAAAGAAGCCACTTACATGGTGCATTCTTGTTTTATTTGTGATGAACGGCCCATCGGGACGAGAGTGCCAGAGGTAACTGCACATCGAAGACCATTAGAAAAAGTGGCGACTGAAGTACGAATCTCCAACGCCTATTTTTGGTATCTATTTAAGACGTGATCCAATATTTTACTTGTCGGGTTATTCTGATAAACCCGGAGAGCTCAGAATGTGACGTGCATACGTTATGTGTGCGTACCGATCTATTATGCTAGGTTGTGCCGAGCGCTGGGTGGTTTTGGATGCGGTTGCACAAACGACCGTCTGATATGCCACCCGGGTTTATCAGAACGTGTGGAGTGTGTGAGGAGTCAACTTTAATGAGAAGTCTTCACGGGTCCTGCTTCTTTTGAGGATTCGTAAAGGGCCTTGAGTTATTCGTGCACCAGCCTCTTTGAACGCTCGACGCCCTTTGTGGTAGCTGAAGGAGTTGCAAGGGGAGGAGGTTAATCTAAAGCCCCTTTATAAAAGTTGAGATTAATGTTTCTTCTGAGCAAAGACAACCATTGTTTTGCAAACGCGCAAAAAATGTGCTGCGCCGCCATTCGCTTTCGAGGGCTGCTCATTTAAAGCTGATAAAGAACAAAGAGCGGTTTGGTGAAGATGCAAGAATCAAAGAAAGAATAAAAACACTTAGGGACAAGGACAGACAGCACAGTTCTTTCAACTGGCAACAAACATTTACTGATAGTACGTTTGAAGGAGACATCAGTAAATGGTTGTTGATAGTTGAAAGAACTGTGCTGTCTGTCCTTGTCCCTGAGTGTTTTTATTCTTTCTTTTATTCTTGCATTCAGTGCTGCACCGCCATTTTCCGCAAAGAGCTGCCCGAGGGATTATCCTCGTGAACGACCTCAAGGACAACGTCTAGGACGAACTGAAGGACGACTTCTAGGACGACCTCGAGGACAATCTCTCGGACGACCTCAAGTCGACCTCAAGGACGACTTCTAGGACGACCTTAAAAACGGCACCTAGAGGACGTCGTCCTCTAGCATCGTTTTCGGGGACGACTTTCAGGACGACGCCTGGAGGAATTCAGCCTTTCCACTGTGGCTAAAACCAGAGTGGAAAGGCTGGAAAAATAGCCGCCATCTATGAGCGACGGCGGTAGCTGTCCAGAGTTTTGTGTCCAGATTTATTTGTCCACGGACTCGAGACTGGGGAAACTAGCCCTTAACAACTCCGCCTTAAAAAAAAGAAAAAAAAAAGCGTTTGTGTTTTTGCATTTTACCGCTGGGACATTGTTTGGTGCTGCCAGAGAGAGCCCGTGCGCGTGCCCTCCTCTCTGATCTTTTTTTCACTTTAAAATGGCCACGTTCTTTCGCGATTTGACAGGCTTCCTAGATTAAAAAAGGCTATGATCCTGCACGTTGCTTCCCAGAAGACATGAAATACCGTTAGTCGCTACTCCATCAAAAAGTACTGGAAATATGTCAATCGTTCTTTTCTCTCGGAAAGGAACTAAGCCGGTACTTCGTTACCGAAAAAAGTAAGTAGATAGAAGCAACGTGTTAGGTATAACTCGTTACGCACAACTCTGGTCATGAATTCTAGAATCCCACTCGTGATCTCGTGTGATTACGCGGGGAGCTACTCCTCGTCATTCGGAAGTCACTTGTGCGCGTCGACGGTAACCTGCAGGTTTTTGTGAGCCATACTTCGTACTGCTGCTCATATTGTGGCGCAGAGCTTCGTATCAAACGACCGAAGTTCGAAATCTGCTGAGCCGCGGGCTAAACCTCGCTCGTTACAATCAATTACGGCTGATTGTGATAACGTATGGTTTGACTAAGTACGCTTTATGTTGTCATGGACTGCGTGTGATGCTTTTTCGTCCCATTCGCGCGTTATATTTTTTGCATAAATCGAGCCTATGAACACACTGTCAGTGGATATTTTGTATCCGTGATATTTTCATAGTTTGGAGCGAGTTCTTGATTGATGGGGTTAAGAATAGCTGAAAGAAGGACTTGCTCTGAGAACTTGTTTTCAGGAGATTGAGTTGAAAGGTTTCCCCTGGCAGGCCCGGTAGTCAGACGTTGCGAACAAGATTTGAACGTGACTGTGAACTGTAATATTCTAGATGATTGAAGTGCCGTCCCTGCTTCATAGGTACGTCTGGCGGACATTTCTGACCCAACTTAAGTCCTTTCTCCAGGGGTTTTTGGAAAATAAGTCGTGCATATAGTAGATGCTGCTGTTTGCTAACAACAAAGCCGAAGGCGCTTGCTGCTTAACAAGAATCGGGGAACAATGGCCAAAGAGACGGCGCAACGTATCACTGCGACTCGGATAACATATCAAAGTCAAGTGGATCTCCAAAGACAAACGTAACTGACTGGGACTTTGCTGAGATATTTCTGTCTAGGCAAAAGACAGAATGGTAGGTTGTGTAAAGCTATGGCCATGTTTGGTGCTCGAAATCAACCACGCAAAATAAAAACTGCAAAATAATACTTTATGCATGATATTCGCGGAATTTCCTGCCGTCATGACGAAGCAAAAAAAAAAATACTTCTGATTTACCTGCGTTTACCATGCTTCTGCCTGGGTGCGCGCAGACTCTTGGTTTGCAAGCGAGCAATTGCATGAGAGCTGTGCTCTAAAAAAAAATCATGAGCAATTGCACTCTGTCAAAGTGGATTACCAGCAAAGTTGTTTTAGCACACGACACAGACCCGCCACGAGGAGCCGGAGAAAACTAGACACGCGCGACAGGACCGCCACCCGGCGGAATGTAGACATGCGCAACGGGACCTCCACTCCGGTAGAGCGGAAGGAAAGGAAACTAGGCACGCAAGGGCTTGGAACGACGACAAAGAGAGGGCAGTGCGAGCGTAGACATGGCCGACGAGGCGCGCACAGTGGCGAAACTTTGAGAAACCTTTATTATCTACCCGAGAGTCTGCTGATCTTGAAAGTGGTGCCTATTGATAACTAATAGGCACGCAAGGGCTTGGAACGACGACAAAGAGAGGGCGGTGGGAGCGTAGACATGGCCGACGCGGGGCGCACCGCGACGAATATTTGAGAAACCTTTATTATCTACCTGAGAGTCTACTGATCTTGAAAGTGGTGCCTATTGATAACTAATCTACTCATTAGGCCTATTGCTAAATTACCCAAGCATCAAGGAGAATTCAGGAAATGGCGTTGTTCCACGCGCCGCACTTGTTGGCGTCTGCAGCAGTAACTGTTCTAAAGCAAAAGCATAGCCTCCTCTATACTGACAAAGCCTGGCATGCATATCGCCACGAGAAGCGGCCGTCAAATTTGAAAAGGAACAGCAGCAGGTGACGGATGAGAGGAGAGCCATGTGACGGGCGCCCCGCTGCGGCGAGACGCCGAAACACACTTCTCCCGAGCGAGGGAATCTCCGCTCGTGCTCCTCGCGTTCCTCGCGCTGCCACTTATTTTCTCGTCGTGTTTGAAAACCATGTTTCAGGCCTCCTCTATACTCACTTGTGAGTATACAGGAGGCTATGGCCATAGTCTCCTCTATACTCCCAAAGCCTGGTAGTTCGACGACGGAGCCATAGAGTGCCCGGTTTCAGATTTGGAGCGCGAGGATCTGGTAGCACAGAGCATTTATCGGGAAACCTGGATGTCAGCGCACAGATTTTGCAGCGGCGATGACGCGAAACATGGTTTTCAAACCCGACGAGAAAAGAAGCGGTAGCGCGAGGAACGCGAGGAGCAAGGGCCGACATTCCATCGCTCGGGAGAAGTATGTTTCGGTGGCTCGCCGCAGCGGGGCGCCAGTCACGTGGCTCTCCTCTCATCCGCTGTCTGCCACTTTACCGTTTCAATTTCGGCGGCCGCTTTTCATGGCGATCTGCCAGGCTTTGTCAGTACTCGGGAGGAGATCGAACACTCACACTTCTAGCGGTATCCTTCAGCTGT